GAATCTTACCAAGTAAAATGTTCTTCCTCCACTGGCAGAAATGTTTGACTTAATTTGAGTCAAATTTTCAGCCTAACAAGACAAATAATCTTACACATTCTGAAAACAAGATGATTATTCTTACACAATCAGTTCTTGTTTAGTCAATCAGTCTCAAAACAAGATCAAAAAGACTTTTTGGCTGATATAAGATTTTAAAACTTGGTAAGGTGGACAGGTTTTGCAGTGCAGGACCAGAACCAGAATCAGAACCAGGACCAGAACCAGACCCAATAAAAGCTGCTAAACTGAACATTTTACCTCCTGCATGCGTTCGGCCTGCATTCTCAGGACTTTTCATATGATTTCTGACTGATCGGAGCGTAAATTAGAATCTTTTCTTTCAGTTTTTTCCCACGAAGCTGCAGCAGAATCAGGATATTTGACTCTTTTTGGATGAAATAAAGGAAGTGATGAAGGATTCAGCTGTTTCCCACATTACTCTGAGCTGAATTCAACTTTTTAAACTAAACTCATTTTTATCTCTTGGGCTCAGCAGGGGTCTGTGCCTCAGGACCTCCTCCTCAGTAATGAGGCTGTTGCTTCGGTCCATCGTAGTGAAAAGAGTGTTTAAAGATTACATATAAAAACTATAAATGTTGATGTTTTCTTGCAGCTGTTTGTCTGAATCAGCTGAAGGTTTTTAAAAACAGAACCCTGACCTGAAGTTTTGGGTCACGTTGGGATAAAAGTATCTGGTTCTGGTTCTGGTTCAGTGGGGATTTCCACAATACTCTTAGTTTCTACAATTATTTATTGTCCTGTTTGAGTCTCCACCCATCATCATCCTCATCCTCATCATGCTGCGTTCACTGATCCTTGGACAGAGTCAGAACTCTTGCTGCTGACAGCAGTTTCCCATCAGCTGTTTCTGCAGGAATGCTGAGTCAGCGTTCCCGTTAGTTTTTTTGTTCTGTACATTTTTTAGACTCTGATAACCTCAGCATACGTTCAGATGTTTTAACCTTTCATAAAGCCAAACGTTCAGCTCGTTCAGCAAGGTACGGCTACAACTTTAGCTTTTTGTAACTTTTATAATTTTAGAAAGACTTAATTTTATTAAATTTGTTTTGACGTAAAATTGTCCTGAAAACTTTGTGATTTTTTTAAAAATGTGATTCACTGTTACTGCTTCATTTTTACTTTTTGCTGCTGTTTTTGATCATTTGTCTTTCTAGTTTTAGCTTTTTATAATCTTTTA